GACAGTAAGCCCCCAAAAGCTGATCTGGTGACCACTGACTTATCCAAAATGTTACATAAGTACTACTATAATAAGCAAATAATGAGCAAATTATGTTTCATTGGTCAGATTGGTGAGGCAGTTCGCTGGCTGGTGGCCCACTCTCCAGCCTCTACAGTCCTTTCATCTCAGCCCCTGCTCCAGTTTGTAGAAGGAGGCCTCTGCCGTGAGTTCCATGCCAGGTTCCACCATGACAAGCAGGAGCGAGTAAAGGCAGGCCTCTCATGCCAGGATGCAGCAGCCATCATCCAGCTGTATAACAGCGTACTGACCTATCTGGCAGGTTTGGTTAGCTCTGAGCGGCTGGTCGGTGTCTCTTGGCCACCACCTGAGTTCTCTCTGCCTGAGACCAGAGACCTTGTGCCTCACCTGGACTGGAATTCTCCACAGCACTTGGACTGGCTGAAGAGAGCCATCCTGAGCCTGCAGATCCCTGAGTGGGATCTTCCCCCTCAAAATGGTGTGTATCATGGAGGAGACTTATAAAAATTGTAATACATGTCCATCTGATGAACTAATCTAATCCAAATGGGGTTTAAGACATGATCATGTAAACTGTACAGTCTGGTTGTAAGGATCCAACTAAGATCTTAGTCCATCTAAAAGCATAGTGTGATTTAAAATATGTGGTCCAGGCCGATATTGGCTCTTCAATGTAGGATTTGGACATAAAAACACTTCGATCACTCCACTGACTTTACAGTTTTTGTGACAATTTCCTGCACTTTCTGCAGTACAATATAATGACAGCAAGGGTGGGAGGCATACTTCATATTTAGATGAAAGGAGGCAAGGAGCACTGATATTTTCAAATGGCAGGAAACTTGTAGGCCTATGTTTGTAAACTTAATTGTGTCATGGAAGAAAAGAAATCTACATTGGAAAAGATTATTTAGAATGTTTAAAAAATGTTGGCTACTTGTAAAGAGTAATTATGTACTTCTTTGCAGTTTTAAGCATGTTATCCACTGTGTATCTACTGTACATAATGCATGATGATCATAATGCATGATTAGGTTTCAAAATAATTGAAAACATCATATCGTTCTTCCACCAGCTTCGTGGCCCCGTTTGTGTTCGTCCATATTTCAGTATGTATCCCAGTTTCCCAGCTCTCCCCAGAGCCAGCCCCTCCTCATGTCTCATCTGGAGCACCTGCTAGGAAGACTGCGTGCCAAATACATGCGGACAGACAGTGAAGATGATGAGGGTGGTGATGAAAATGCTGGACCTTCTTTTAAACACATACCTTGGGATGACATCTTATTCCTCTGCATAGAGCATCGTATGAAAGACTGGCGTTTACTAGAGACTCCTGTAGCAAAGGGTGAGGAATGGGATTTAAGAATCATAGAAATGTACATGAAGTGTGTGTAGATTTGTTTAGTGCAGTCACCCTGTATGAGCTGGAGAAATTGTTTTTGTTTGGAGACTGGACACGTTTTAACCTGGCTTTCTGTTTCTGCTATAGATGCCATTAATGGCAGTGGGGAGATTTTGGTGTACTATTACAAAAAACAGCTGAAGGACTTTAAGCCTCCAGAGAGTTGGGTGACAGCTGTGGAACGCACTCATAGGGAGAAACAGCAGAACACAGACAGGTAGGAATCTGAAACTGTGGATACATACCTGTCCAATCCAAGTACTTTTACATTTTAGAACCTACTGGAGCTGGGTAATCGCCTTTGTAAAGCCCTGTTTTCCGGCTCCTATGTGGCAGGAGGTAGACTGGTTGAAAAAGGAGATACTTTATAATCCTGAATCTAATGGAGCATCACTTTGGCTCTGTGAATACCTGGCGTTAACAGCCATCTCGACTGATCTAATCACAGGCGGATAGCAGGACATAAAGCCGTTTAAACCTGGCATCTCAAGTTACCCACTCATGATCAGATTTTGGGACAAAAGGAGTGCTGCACACATTTCCCCTAGTCCTTCCTGTCAGCCTCTTGCTGCATTTGCTGTTGCTCTACAAATGCTATGTGGTCATATGCATCATGTGGTCAAATGACCACCAAGCTCTACAAATGCTATGTAGGCATATGCATCAATGACCGTCAAGCTAACTGTAAAGTATACAGCAACATAATTCATGTGCGTAAACAATTATATTTTCTCCCAGGTCAAAAGTGAGCTCTAGGCAGACTCTGTCCCCAGCGGCACGCTTCCCCAGACAGAGGCTGTTCCAGAGTTGGATAGAGCAGGAGGAGAGCCTCTCTGTGCTTGACATCACACACACTCCCTCTGCACAGGAGCTGCTACCCCACTGCCTGCTCTCCAGTATTGAGCAGGAGAGGGCTCAGAGCCAGAGGTTAGTCTAGCATTTAAAGCATTTAAAGCATGCAAACTGTTCACGGAGTCTTTGTTAAAGTGGAAGTCCGAGAACAGTTTATTTGAGCCTTGTATTTTTTATTATTTTTTTAACTTGGAGGCGGATGCGGCCTATCACCTGAATAAACGTCCTAAAGTTTCTGTTATGTGTTTAGATTTGAGGAGCAGCTGCAGCGCTGGTTGGAAGTGGATCCCATGGACTCTGTTTCTATGCCTCTCTTCATGCCTTCTACACTATTGTCTGTGCCTGAGATTTTGACTCCCTCCCGACACCCCCCTGTGTCCACTACCTTCCTCACACAGGTATACTTAAGCTTCTTTTTTTATATCTTACTCTGCTTTCTTACTGCTCCTGCCGCCATGGATACTCCTGCTGTACTCGTGCAGAATAAACAGCATGTAGAACCCAACAGTGTCATAATTTCCTAAAAATTAGATAAAATTTTGCACTTCATCAAAAATATATCAAAATCCAGTAATGTAATGAGGTATTAAATATAGTCCACCTGAAAGTGTACACAATTCCCAATAATGTAGTAAGGCATTACATTATTAGTAAAGGCATTATTACATTATTAGTAAAGGCATTATTACATTATCAGTTAAGGCTTTATTACACTGTCAGTTAAGGCATTGTTTTACATTATTGGGTTTTCTTATATTATTGAACAAGTGCCAAATTTTATTACGTTTCTAGGCACTATTACATTATTGAGAGATTATCCCATTACTGAATTCTACACAGCATGCTCAATCTGTACTCTTTATTGTGTTTATTTACTATAAGCCAAAGTTTAGTGTGTTTTAAGCTCATCAGAGATTCTAAAATGCCTTGGGGACTCCAGAGTCTGGTACATTTTGTGTAATTTAGTGACTGACTAAATTATCTAAAACTCAAGTTAAAAGTAGAGATACACCATGATATTGAAATTATTTCAGTATCAGCAGATAATTTCTTTAAAAAATTATCAGCACTGGACAGATGTTTAAATTTGACCAATATTTCCAACCAGTATTTATGATGTATTTTTTGTGCTCCAGAAAAACGGAACATTTAGCCACCATTGGACTACTCCGCTAAAATACCTGCATTTTTGTATTTTACTACATTTGTAACCCTTCAAAAATAAATTGTATTTCTCCATAATGCTAATGCAAGTAGATGTAGCCCTAGTTTGAACATTTTATATATGTTTATGTATTTACATTGGCAGATGTGGGAGTGAAAAATATCATATCAGCCCAAAATTGTCATATTGACGCATGCTTAGTAAAAGGGTCTTTCTGGCAGGATAAACAAGGATTAACAAAGACCTAGTAGCTAGTGTTGACCCCAGTTTATTTAGTGTTGTGTTCAAATTGTTGTTGTTATTACTACTACTACTATTATTGTTGTTGTTGTTGTTGTTGTTGTTGTTGTTCTTGTTTTCTGGCATTTATTGTGTGTGTGTGTGTGTGTGTGTGTGTGTGTGTGTGTGTGTGTGTGTGTGTGTGTGTGTGTGTGTGTGTACTTTTTTTAGAAGATGGAAACAGATGAGAAGGTTCCTTCCACTTGTAGAACAGATGTACCTGTATCTCTAACACAGCGGCTGGCAGAGCTTGATAGGCTGATAGTAGCAAATCGAGAAGAGGAGCTTGCATGCGGTCTGAAGCTTAAAGGCCTGTTGGAAATCATAGAAGACTGAAAAATTCATATTGCTGTTCTTTATTTCTGGATGTTTGGTTAATGGTTGGTTTATGTTGGAGTCAAAATGATTAAATCTGTGTTCATTTTAAATGTTTGTGTTACTTTTGAAGTCATGAAAATATAGTTTTCTTTTATTTTGTGAGGATTATGAAAGAATCTGTCTGGAGCCACTTTCAAATTAGGTAAATTTAAAGCTTTTTATTATGTTTTAAAGTAATGTGAGTGCTACACATGTTCATTCATTTATATGATGCCCAAATGAAAGTTTACTAACGACTGGCTGTTTTTTGACCGTTTTGTTCATACGTGCATGTGTATGTATAGTTCCTTACCATGGTTTAAGTAGTGTTGAGGATTTATACACTGTCTAAGATATATATATTTTTTCTGAAGACCAATAAAGCAATGTTTTTATGGCATAAACTGTGCAATATGGAAGAATTTTAATTCCCTTCCCCACAAATACGTGAGTATAAATAATATTATAATATAATGTGATCATAAGCATTCAGAAAAGCACAAATATAGCAAAATGCCTGTGTATATGGGTCTCTAAATGGAGCTGGTTTCTTCCCACCTCTGAAAGAGTAACTGATGTTTTTCAAACTTCAGAACAGTAACGTGTTTTATAGCCTCGTTTTTGTCACATAACCTCCATCACTGTCATTTGAAAATATTCAGCAATATCCATCAACATTAACCACCTCTCCCCTTATTAAAGTTTTAGCTAAGACATTTCTGATTTGTGGATATCACTACTAATTTGAATACCACGCCCCTTTCTCCGTCCCCTCCATTTTAATTGGTTGTTCGAACCTCTGGTCATATCTCTCCATGCCCAAGCTCTCTCGGAAGGCACCGCTGAGAGAGATGGGAAGTGTAGTGTATATAAGTAACGCGCCGCAGATTTTATTATTAAAAAAAGGCGATGATGAACTACATTACCCATAAAGCATTTGGCGGAGTGGAGGCGCGTCAGTCTCGCATGGTAACTTGCCTCACATTTGAAGTTCCCGAGAGGTCTAGTCACAGAAGTCCGAAAATGACGGAAGGCACGTAAGTGTTCACTCTCCTTCACTTTCCGCAGAAGATTTAGTTAAAGATGTGATTAAAAAGTTGTTTATCAAAATATTTCTGACATCAGCGCAAAACTCTTCTGCAGTTATGTCAGATAAACATTTTTGCATTTTGTAATCGGCTCCATGTTTCAAATGTATTTTCATACAACAGCTTCCATCATATTATCTTGGATATTTTATCATCTGCCCCATGCTGAGTGTTAGTTATACATTCTGTAAATCACATTATTATTATTATTATTATTATTATTAAAGATTATTTTTAAATGCTTTAATTACAACAATTTGAAAACTCCCGGTGAAAAAACATGTTTTGTTGAGGTGAAAATAAATTACCACATCCTCTACGAAGTACACACTTAAATATGGCACGTTTTCCCACAAATTCTACTGCACAATTTATATTTATTTTCTTTAATATATTGGGAAAAAATATAAAATATAAGATGTGCTTTTGCACAGGCCACATTTTATTTTTTATTTTTTTCCAATATGTTGAATCCAGCAAATAAACAGTAATTATGCGTTAAAATGTGCAGAAGTGTGTCTCTATAGAGGATGTTAACTTGAAAATCAACAAAACATTTCAGTTTGCCCAGAGGCGCTTAAACTTTTGCATACGGCTGTACATTATCTACATTATAATAAACACATCACACACGCTTCACCCAGGAGTCTGCGAAGAAGAGGGGGGCCCTATAAAACAGATCCAGCCACAGAGCTGACCCGCTGGAGGCTCAGGAACGAGGAGGGCAGACAAACCTGGAGTTATCTGGAGGATGAGGACATTGAGGAGAGGAAGCAGACCTTACTGGAGGCTCACTCACTGGGTCTAGACACGGTAAACAGAAGTGACCACAGCGAATAGCCCTACAGGAAAATTAAAGCTAAAAGAGTTTCTGCAAATGACCACATGTATGGACCCATGTATTTGTAATGAGCTTATAATTTAAAAATACCTACTTTCTAGTTTCGATGTCAGAATTTGAGAACACATTTTGTAGTTGATCCAGCTACGTTTCACACTTTGCTGGACTGTTCACTGTTCAGGTTCTATCTGTAAACACCTGTGCAGTCCTGCCATGTTTTCCAGTGATTGCAATAGACTGTTTATTTCCAACATCACACTTTTAAAAAGATGGCATGATTGGTCCTGTTCCCCAGAGTGAGTTCGTCCCAGCATCCTCTGCTGTTCAGACGGCTGTCGAAGCTGCTCTGAAGGGTATGGACTTTTACAGTCAGCTCCAGGCTGAGGATGGCCACTGGGCTGGAGACTATGGTGGACCACTTTTCTTGCTCCCGGGTACGGTGTAGTACTGATAAATGTGTCAGGGAAATGCAGTTTCACATGAGCAGGAATTACTTTACTTTCTTGGAAGATCTCATGATATAAGTGAATGCACATGTTTTGCTGTGTTGTTCAGGTCTTCTTATAACCTGCCACGTGGCTAACATCTCCCTGCCGGAGGCCTGGAAGAAAGAGATGGTGAGGTATCTGCGCTCTGTGCAGCTGCCAGATGGAGGATGGGGACTGTAAGTATAATTTTATCGTGTTATGTACAGTAGCTCAGAGAAATAAACATTTCAGATAAATAAAGTGCACTTTATGTCCAAAAGTATCCAGACCCCCTCTTCAGTGAGTAATCTCCATAGAAAAGCATTGCTAATAGAATGGGATGCTCTGGAGCAGCCACACATGATGTCACCCTTCACAATACCAAGTCTCGACTAGATGGGTATAAAGCCCCCCCAGCGTTGGGTTGTGGAGCCTTGGAACTACGTTCTCTGGAGGGAGTTCCATTTAATACCTGTGGGATGAGTTGAAGTGGCATTTTTTGATCCAGAACTGATCATCAACATCAGTACCTGAGCTCACTAATGCCCTTGTTGTTGAATGCAGTCAAATCCTCACAACAATGTTCTATCTAGTGTGAGGCCTTCCCAGAAGAGTGGAGGCTGTTACTACAGCCAACTCTCTATTAACACAAAAAAACTCTGGATGAGCAGGTGTCTAGAAACTTTTGGATGTATAGTGTGTGTTATTCTTGGTCTGACATCTCTGAAGGGTTTCTGCATCATGAGTGGCCGTTTTATAAAAAAAATAATGCATTTTGATAAATGTAAAAAATGACATGAAAGTTGCAACTTGTACAGACAAAAAGTAGCCTGCTCCCCAAACGTGCTGCTGATTAATCTTTATATTTCAGGCACGTTGAAGACAAGTCTACTGTATTTGGCACGGCCCTCAATTACACTACACTGAGAATCCTGGGGGTTGGGCCTGATGACCCAGATATGGTGCGGGCAAGAAACAACTTACACAGCAAAGGTCTGACCGCAACTCATACAGAAATGCTTAAAAGTTTTTTTTTTCTGAAATATAAAACCAGATGTGTTGCAGATGTATAAAAATATCTAATTGAAATCATGTATAAAATTCTTCTAATATGATACTTCATACTTCAACTTCATTGAATGTTTCATATAATTTGTATGAAGCTGCAAAAAAGAAGATATTTCATTATGTGTCCAGAATGATGGACAAAGCTGTAGATGATTCCATGATACGGAAGCTGTGTAGCATCAACAATAAAGAATGAATGTCCAGAATGAGTTGATAGTAGTAGTAGAAATGTTGAAAAAAAATTACTTGAAATAGACAATTAGGGTTCCCAGAAATATAAAAGAAATATTAAATAAAGCATCTATATATAAATAATAATATTGGCAAATATAGTTATTTGTATCTTTATAATATTGTTGTAGGAATATTAAGATTATTCATGAATTTTTTTGACTGTTTTATGTCAATTTATCCACTCAAATTGCCTTAATCTGTTGGTAGATACTTTTGCTTAGAAATACTGCGAAAAATTTAGATGAAAATGAAAAACATTTCTTAAAGCATGTACAACACCCAGAAAGAGGTGAGAGTAATCTTAAAATATTCCTACAACATAATAATACATTGACCAGATCATGGAAGATTTCGATTCGTCAAGACATCATTTCTTATAATGTCCCTTAAAAAATAGTTCTTTGCATAGTGGAATGGTTCTTCTGTACAATAGAAAACTTTTAGAGCCTTTTTAAAAATGGTTCTGTATACTATACTATACTAAAATATAGCATATAGTTAATGTCACAAGTAATTCTAAACTCTTGAATGGTAGTGTAAATGAAGTACAATGTGGAGTGAGCTGTTACTCAAAAATTAGGATTGAAATGCATCTTTTTATTTATGAATGAATTGTGCTTCTTTCCACAGGGGGAGCTGTAGGTATACCATCCTGGGGAAAATTCTGGCTGGCCATCCTCAATGTGTACAGCTGGGAAGGGATGAACACCCTTTTTCCGGAGATGTGGTACACACGTTATCCTGATTCATCAAAAATGAATATGAAGTGTCCACACACATGTATTTAAATTAAAACACTCTGCTGTGTTGAAATTCAATCAGGCTGTTTCCTGCATGGATGCCGGCGCACCCGTCCACCCTATGGTGCCACTGCAGACAGGTTTACCTTCCCATGAGCTACTGCTACGCTGTCAGGCTGGCCGGTAAAGAGGACCCATTAGTGCTCAGCCTGAGACAGGTGCAGTTACACATGTTCACCAGTAGAAGCCTTTTAGAAGCTTTACTTTATGAGGCTTGTACTAGCTGTTAATGACTGGAGTATTAGATTCCTGCCAGATTTCTTTTATATTTCATTTTTAGCATTTTATGTCTGTGTAAATGTGTTTAGTCAACTTGAAATCAAAACTGACCTGTTTTACCTTGTTAGTTCATTTTCTTTGGTCATATTAAGGACAATTCATCATGCCATACCATTTAACAGACAAAATTCGATGAAATATAAATACTCTTTATATATAAACATCTTCTGGATTCTGAATACATCACGGTGAACCAACAAACTGGAAAAGTAATATTAACCAGAAAAACTATGTTTTGCCTGTCCCACCCACCACCACCCCATCACTGAGCAAAACTTAGCTTAGAGACCCTCCCTGTCTCTAAGTTAAGTTTTGCTCAGTGATGAAAGTACATCACAGTACCTCAGGAAAATGCATTATGATTTCTGATTCATCTTAACAAATCAGTGAACATACTGAAAAATTAAGAAAAAGTCTCTTGTGGAAATGTCAGTCAGCCTGTAATTTCATATGACTAAATAAAAAACAGTCACCGATGACGTAACAGGAATGCAGATAGTCTGGACTCAAATGCACGAAGAGGGCAACACATTAGAACATATAACAGAGTACACAAACAACACTAACAGGTTTTTACAAAGGCAAAAAAGACTACAAGACTATAATAAATGGAAAACAAAACAAAAATACAAATCAGAACAATCACGACACAAAGAAGAAAAAACAAACGAATGAAAGACTTTCCTGGCTCAGTTTGGAATGCTGTCAGCATATAAGGAGAAAATCTTGGGAGTCAGTTTTGGTTTGTTCTCATGTTATACACTCGCACACACATTTTCTAAGCTGCTTGTCCTTCTGGGTCACGGGGGCTCATGTTACAGTTTAACAATATTTAATTACATTATTTAAATAACATTTTGTTTTACAATGTACCACTGATATTCATTTACAGGAGCTGTATGTACAGGACTACGTGACTATTAACTGGCCTGCTCAAAGGAACAACGTAGCAGCCTGTGACATTTACACCCCCCACAGTAACCTGCTCACTGTTGCCTACTGTAAGTGCATCTTTATTTTCTTTTTTGTTTAATCTCTTTTCTTTTACACAGTCCTGTTTTTTCACTATTCAACGAGTTGTGCTAAAGAAAATGTATTCCACAGTGATCTTGAATGTATATGAGGCTCATCACAGCACAGCACTGAGAGAGAAAGCAGTGAAAGAGCTGTATGATCACATTAAAGCAGACGATCGCTTTACAAAGTGCATCAGTATCGGGCCGGTAAGCTATTACTGTATGAACCTGTTTAACGTGTTGCGTATAATCCCACAGTTAAGAGTTGGTAAAAACAATTTTTGGTATATTTCTATTAGTTCTCAAAGGTGCCTGTGTTTACATACTTTATTTACCCGATACAGCTGTTTCTTAACGTTGTTGATGAAAAATGAAGTGATGAAATGATGAAATAAGAATAAATGATATAGTTTGACCCAAGTCATTGGAATAAAAACAAGCAGTTTAAAACTGTTGTACAGTATTTAACTATGCCTAGTCTTTGAACACTGGATACATTTTAGGAGATGAACTTGCCCTTAGGTTTTTTTGTGTATTATATACACTGACCGGCCACTACATTAAACACCTAGTTTTTACCATCATTGTCCATTTTATCAGCTGCACTTACCATATAAGAGCACTTTATAGTTCTATGATTCTGTTTTTTTGCATACTTTGTTAGCCCCCTTTCGTCGGTCAGGATCCACACAGCAGGTATTATTTGGCTGGTGGGTCATTCTTAGCACTACAGTGACACTAACGTGGTGGTGGCGTGTTAGTGTGTGTTGCACTGATACGAGTGGATCAGACACTCCATTGGACACTTCTACTTCGTTGGGCCTCCTTAAAGATGTAAAGTCAGAGACAGTAACTCATCTGTTGCTGCGCAGTTTGTGTTGGTCATCCTCTAGTCCTTCATCAGCAGTCAAATGGTGTTGCACACAGGATGCTGTTGACTGGATATTGCCGGTTAGTGGACTGTTCTCAGTCCAGCAGTGACACTGAGGTGTTTAAAAACTCCAGCAGCACTGCTGTGTCAGATCCACTCCTACCAGCACAACACATACCAACACGCCACAACCGCAGTAGGGTCACTGCAGTGCTGAGAATGATCCACCACCCAAATAATACCTGGGTTTACCTTCCCATGAGCTACTGCTATGCTGTGAGACTGGCCACTAAAGAGGACTCATTAGAGTGCTCAGCCTGAGAGAGGTGCAGTTACAAATATTTGCCAGTAGATGGAGCCTTTACAGTAGTAAAAAAAGAAGTTTTACTCTGTGAGGCTTGTAATAGCTTTTAAACAATGGAGTATTAGGGTCCTACCAGATTTCTTTTACACTTCATTTTTTAGCATGTTATGCCTATGTAGATGTATTTAAATTCAAACTGAAATCAAAATGTAATGATACTCAAACAATACCTGCTCTGTGGTGGTCCTGTGGGGTTCCTGACCATTGAAAAACGGTGAAAGGTGACTAACAAAGTATACGGAGAAACAAATTGACTGCAGTTTGTAATTGTAGAACTATAAAGTGCACCTATATGGTAAGAAGAGCTGATAAAATGGACAATGAGTGTAGAAACAAAGAGGTGGTTTCATTGAAGTGGCTGGTCGGTGTACATATATTACAGTTCAGGACCTTGTTTATGAGTTGTCAATAAAATGTCTATGATAACTTTGGACTTGTAACTATGTTCAGAAATGTATATTTTATTTTGTATATGTTCAGTTTTTATGTTTGTCCAAATGAAGAAGACATATAATGGCTGAAATGCTTACTGTTTTCATACTTCGACTGCACCCTCAGATTTCAAAGACTATTAATATGTTGGTACGCTGGCATGTTGATGGACCCTCATCAGCAGTCTTCCAGGAGCATGTGTCCAGAATCCCAGACTACCTCTGGTTAGTGACCAGCAGGACATCTCAAGCTGCTTATGTTGGTCTTTTTTTATTTCCAGTTTGTAGTTTTTTATAAAGTATATAAACAGTGATTTCATGACATTTCTTTGCAGGTTAGGCCTTGATGGCATGAAAATGCAGGTTAGTTTCTGCTGCATAAAATTGAATTTGTGTAATGTACATTTTACTATCATACCATACGTATAATTGTTCTTCATGAGATCAGATCTTTTCTAGTGATGTTTTTACTGTATAATTTCACAGGGAACCAATGGATCTCAGCTATGGGACACTGTCTTTGCAGCACAAGCATTTCTTGAGGTATTTAGATGCTTTATTATTTTATTACAATATTTGTGTGCGTCATTAAACAGTAAACCATGTATCATAACCTCATAAATTAGAGACATGGCACCATAGTGCTGGCCTGAGTGTCTCTGAAAACGTTTGTTTGGGTGTGCAGGCAGGTGCCCAGGACAACCCTCGTTTTACAGAGTGCTTACAGAAGGCCCACCAGTTCTTTAATGTAACCCAGGTAAGAGCATAACATGAAATAAAGCATGAATCAGTGAAGTGATGAAGTGACCAGCAAGAAGACACCCTGGATCACTGTGTTTGATAGTAGTGTTATGATGTTTTTGAGAATCCAGGAACTGATCAGTTTTTCATTTCAGATTAAAGAGAACCCTCCACAGTATGAAAAATACTACAGACAAATGAACAAGGTACCGCATGCTTCCGTGTATGGTTAAAAAATGAAATTAATCTAGAGCTTTAGTGTAACTGTGAGTTAATTGTGTGTTTGTGTGTGTGTGTGTGTGTGTGTGTGTGATCAGGGAGGTTTTCCTTTTAGCACACACGACTGTGGCTGGATCGTGGCTGATTGCACAGCAGAGGGGCTCAAGTCAGTGATGTTACTGCAGGAGCGGTGCAGCTTCATTACAGATCATATCCCTGAAGAGAGACTCTTTGATGCAGTCAATGTGGTACATCAGAGAATAATATTAACATTTAGAAAAATACAAACAGAGAAAATAAGAAACTGTTGAAAAATGAAAAGACAGAAAATATAATTCTAAGAAGGCACACCAAAGGGGAATTCCACCAATTGTTCAAAATTTCTTAATTTAATTAAATGGTTAAGATATAAACAGTCACTCAACAGTCAGTCAAATTTGCCGGTTTCTATCACCACCACTAATGGAAACAGTTCTGTCTCTGTAAATCTGAAGACGTCTGAAGAGTTTAATGCCTCTAAAAACTACACAGAAAGTTAGTATATCAAATGATTATGAACACACAGCCTGATGCTTGACAGTGTTTGATAAGTTTTGGGAAGGTTTGCTCTAAAACCTTTTTTTAAATACAAAATATAACTTATTTTTCACCATTATCAACATTACAAATAAAAAACACAGAAAACATGTAGGGTCCCTGGTGGCTTTGAATAGTCAGTAAAATGGCTATATTTGTGATGTAGACATTGTGACCCCTGGTTTTATCATCACCACTTCAAAGAATTCAGAATCAGTTTCTTTACAATGAACTATTTCACATCAGACCACTGTGAATGACTTTGTTTATCTAAATTATTCAATTATGCCCAAATATATACACAAAAATAGGTCTGAATCCCCTTTAAATGCTGTATTAAATAAGTATGTTTTATGGTACTTTTTAAAAGAATGTCACTGCCTGTGAGGATTTTCAGTAGAGAATTCCAGAGCTAGGGGCTATAATAACTGAAGGCCAGATCTCATTCTTTCTTCTAGCTCCTGAGCATGAAAAATGCTGATGGTGGTTTTGCCACTTATGAGACCAAACGTGGAGGAAAGCTGCTGGAACTGCTCAATCCCTCAGAGGTGTTTGGTAAGAGCATTTCTCCTGACAAAGCAAGTTTGCAAGGTTTTGTGTTATTGTCAACAGATCATGAGCTGAAATTCCAGCAATGTTAGGAGTCCACAAGATCATCCTGTTTAATTATATGTACCGATGTGCAGTACATGAAGCATATAACTGAAAACATCATTGCGACCTGATAAAGTAACGCATGGGTAAAAGGTGCCAAATAACTGGCAACCCAGTGCATATAATAGCATATATAATGGCACGTAACAGTATATATATTAGAATTTCTGTGCACTGTTTTAGAGATCTTCAGTTTGTCTTTGGTTTTATTTGTCAGCTTGGCATTTTCTCACTTTGTATCCTGTAACAGGTGATATCATGATCGACTACACCTATGTGGAGTGCACTTCGGCTGTGATGCAAGCTCTGCAGCACTTCCACCATATTTACCCTGAGCACAGAGCACAGGAGATCAGGTACATCTGCAGCACCAGCCCACAGAACATGTTAAGAAACTGAAGGCAAAGCACAGCATGAGTTAAGCTCTAATATGTTATTATAGGAGCACGCTTCAGCAGGGGCTCGACTATTGCAGAAGGATGCAAAGACCTGATGGCTCATGGGAAGGGTAGGCCTCCACCTTCAGTGCAGTGCTGATTTGTGAAGAGAGGATTTTTTATTTTACTGTACTTTAGTCTGTGGTTATTTGCTCAAGTGGGTGTTGATTCAGTATATGTACTTTTTTTTTGTGGCGTTCTGTAATTCAACAATACAACAGACAATTTTGTTATTAAGTACAAAGTCTATAGCCTTTGCATTTGTATCTTTTACAGCTCATGGGGTGTGTGCTTTACATATGGAGTCTGGTTTGGCCTGGAGGCATTTGCATGTATGGGTCACACTTTCCGGGATGGATATGATGGGTATGTTTTGAACTCATAAACACCTGAGAGTTAGCCTTTGTTTTGCATTGTAGAGAAACGTACCAACTCAGACTTCTTTACAGTGGTGGTGATCAGGAATCAGGAGCTGCAACACTAATATAGCTGTTTTGTTTGCTATCCAAAATGACCAGTGAAGCTACACATGTTCTGAGTTTTTATATGTAATGTTGATCATTTTAAGGTAGTGGTAAACCTGAAAAAACATTTTCATTGGGTACTGTTTCATTGGGTACTGTTGTCCTTACAACATGCTGCATCTGCCTCTTCACCATGAAAATATTTTTCAAAAATCATTTTAGACCAAAATATTATCTCAAATCTATTGTAAACAATACCTCAGGCACCACCCAGCTTATTTGTAACAATTTCATGTAATAACTTTCTGTGTTGTAGTTTTCTGAGTCATTTGGACGTCTGATTCCTGATTCCTGATTCACCACCACTGAGAACATTTCTGACTCTGCAAGTTTCTCTAGAACGGCACTCATCAAACCACTCTGAATAACTTTGTTTACATCAGTAGTTTCCTTTCTCATGGATTTGTATGGTGAACATATTTCAGTTTAGATTCATGATTTCATGGAATTGAAGATTTTCCAAGAAAGGCTTTCTGTTTGTTGCTGTTGTCTTCTGGGCTTCTGGAAAGTTGGTGATGGCTGTTTATTCAAACAGCTCTACCAGTTCATCCTCCACACATCCATTCATTCATTCATTCATTTATTCATTCATTCATTCAGTGCATCTTCTGTGTGCTGCAGGCTGGTGTGTGCTGAGGTGAGGCGTGCCTGTGACTTCCTGCTCTCTAAGCAGATGGAGGATGGAGGCTGGGGAGAGGACTTTGAGTCATGTGAACAGCGGCGCTATGTACAGAGCAAAAACTCACAGATCCACAACACCTGCTGGGCTCTTCTGGGCCTGATGGCTGTCAGGTGATATACAACCCAAAATACTAGCTGAATCTGTTTTATGCTCACTGAATGACGGGCATCTCAGGTCCTTCTACACTGCAAAATTCAGTTCTCTGATTTCACCCAAATTTATATAAAACCACTGCCTCGACTTATTTGTGCCACTCTTACTTAATTTAGTTGTTTGTGGTAATGCACATTAGCAGATTAATTAAGCTAATTCACTGATTGATTTATTGATTTTTTTAGATGATGATGATGATGACGATGATGGTTATGATGATTATTATTATCATTATTATTATTATTCAATGATTCATGATTCATTGATTTGAGCCATTACTCATAAACCATTTAAGGGACCATGAGAAATAGGCTTTTATAGTTCATTTAACTAACCTTTTTCATTGGATATTTTCACTGTAGGTACCCTGACCTAAAGGTGATTGAGGATGGAATACAGGTTTTGATTGACAAGCAGCTTCCTAATGGAGATTGGCCACAAGTGAGTTACTTTCTTCATGTCTTTGTTTGTTCAAGGACAGTTGTGTTTGCACCATGCCTTTACCATATGGTGGTACAATGAGTAGAGACTGAGGGAAGAGAACCTTGGCTGGAATTCTCAGTGGCTTCTACTTGGAGTTAGAAGGCTGGACCTCTGGAAAACCTTGTTGTGGGAAATAGAAGGAAGATATGGGAGTTTTAGGGTGTAAGATTGGTTTGAGGCATGGTCCTCCCCCAGATTTCAGTTATTCTATCACTCTGTTATCTATTTGCTATTTTTTTAACTGAAAAGTGCCTTTACAAACAGACCTTTCTTCACCGTTGCAGGAAAACATCTCTGGTGTTTTCAACAAGAGCTGTGCCATCAGCTACACATCCTACAGGAATGTGTTTCCTATTTGGACCCTGGGCCGTTTCTCGCGCCTCTACCCCTCCAGCTCTCTTGCTGGGAAGGTGAAACTGTGAGGGACTGAGAGATCATCTGCGAGGAGTTTACTTCTCTTTGGTGTCTGATCTGCCTTACTACCTGATGGGAGTTTCTCTTTTATACATACCAATCTGCTGCTATGTGAAACTCTTTGATTTGGTACTTCAGTGTAATTTAAGTGTAATTTTGTATGTTAATCATTAAAATTTGTGCACATACAGGGCTTTGTTATCTCAATCTACAGTTATAGGTCCATTTGCTTTACTTCTTTTATGCTTAAAAGACTTTGGAGCATTATTTAAGCCAGAGCTGATTTTTTAATAATTACTAAGAAATAGTTATTTTGTTACACCATTAAACACAGTACTGTGCAAAAGTAAGAGACCACACTTTACTCATTTATTTTCCAGTCAAAACACCTGTTAACAACTTAAATGGCCAGGGCCCACCAGCAGGTCTAAAGTTTTATTACACACTTCTATAACCTAAGAACAGTTCAGCCAGTTTGCGCTGAAGTCCCTGTAGTTACTGAATAATAAGCCTTAGTATGTAATAGGCCTGGGATTTTATAGGGTAAAGAACAAGTTTTTCATTTTTCAGGAGATATTTCAGAGAGGATTAGATCCAAGACAGTCTGCTTGCATAAGGAATAAGAAAGTGAAAAAAAACAGGAGCATTGGGTCTGAAATAATATGTAGCTGTCAAGAAGCTCCTACTGAGTAGAGGAAATAGGCAAAAAAGAAGAAAATTTGCAAATCAAACAAAACAGCTGCTGGTGTTCTCAGAACAATGGACTGTCCACCCCAAAGTCCAGACCTCAACATTGCTGAATATGTTTGGGATTACTTGGATTACGAGAAGCAGAAAATGCAGCCAACTTCTAAGACTGAACTTTGGACATGTGGTAAAATATTCCTGCAGATTTCTTTGAAAAACTGAAAGCAAGTCACTTGAAAAGAATGTAAGCTGTATTAGGCAATGGGTGGACACCAAATTATGGAAAAAAAAAAATTCTGATACCAAAAATTAGGTAACTTCTGCTTCCTATTGGTTGTTTTGACTGGAAATTAAATATATGAAGAGTGGTCTCTGACTTTTGCTCAGTATTTAGGTAATCAAATATGTCATGTGAATTCATGTTTCTTGTGTTATCAATCATAATTGGGTGATTCTTTTTTTTTGCCTGATTTTCTCACCAATTTAGTCATATCTAGTTTCACCATCTAGCTAGGTCTCCCCAAATCACACAATGCAACCAGTCTGGGAGGGTGAAGGCTAGCATGAGCTTCCTCCCATATACATGAAGCACCACTGCATCGTTCCAATGCAACATCATTGAATAGTTAAGCACACTTGGAGAATGCTAAATGCCAGTTCTGTAACATCAGCTAACAGATGCCAGAGGCCATCCTGGACACAGATGGCCATGGCATCACCAGGGACCGTACTCACAATCTCCCGACAGCTCTAGTGATCTTGTCACATTCTCTTCCTCTACCTGAAAGAAGTTAAAAATTCACATTCCATCAGCACCTCTTTGTGCAACTCCCTGAGATAAACAAATAAAAAACTGATTTCCATAAAACATGATGGAAACAAAACCAACTTATTCTTCTTGTTCTTGTTTTCTTCGCCTGACTGAATGCCAGGCTCTGTAGAGAAATTCCAGGGAAATTCCATTTTTAAGTAAGATTTACATCCTCAAAAGTGAAGCACCGTGTGTTTGTGTGTGTTTCTAGGTAGTTAATTCTTTGGTGCCTCCAGTTGCCAAGCAGTAAATACTGGTTTTAGATAGAGGCCAAAGTTTGATACTTCACTCATTCAACCTTTGATACGTTTTTTTTTTTATTAACTTAACACTGTTTGTTTTTTGACTAGCAAAGATAGAGACACACAACCAAAGCCCTGTTTGAGTATCTATCACTTGCAAAAGGTAGCATGATATAAGGAAATGCACGTACCTGATCAAGCAGATGGTCTCTGCTTAACTCTTTACTGTCTTGATGTTTTTTATTAACGTCTTCATTCAGTATCATTCAATTTTCACTTGTACTGTGTGTTTTACCACAACATATATGTGATTGAATTTACATTCATTAAACATTTTAGCAAACACATTATACAATAGTTAAATTGTACATAGTACACAGTTCTTAAGAATGTTTTAGAACCTGATGTTTCAATGTTTAAGCACAATAATTATTTTTGACAATAATACTTCAATTCAGAAATGTGTATTCTTAGTTTATGAACAGTTTTCTGCGAGTATAAAATACAAACCACATCACAATTATTGGTGCTATTTAGTACTTTGTGCCACCTCTGTTTGCCAACATAAAAGCAATGAGTCTTCTCCTGTAATGCTTGATCAGTTTGGAGAATACAGAGCAAGCAATCCTCAATACAAAATCTCTCCAGATTCTCCAGGGTCCTAGGTCCTCTCTTTTGGACTCCTCTCGTAAACTCACCCCACAGATTTTCAGTGGGGTTTAGATCAGTGGACTGAGATGGCCATGTTGACAGCTTTATTTTCTGATCAGTGAACCATTTTTGTATGGATTTGAACATATGTTCTGTATCATTGACCTGCTGTAAGATCCTGGCTTTGAGGCAGAGGCAGCCAGGTTTTCATTTCAAATCTCCTGGTGGTTTCATGGAGTCCATAATGCCACTTAACAGGATTCCCAGGGCCTTTGGGGGATAAACAGCTTCAAAACAAACTGCAGCACCTTTCTGTAAATCTCTAACCACCTTCCTCTCATTGTAGGTGGGGCAGGTTCACCACAGAGTGGGCAGCCTGGAAACAAGCTGTACCTTTCTCCTCCCCCACAGCCTGGCAAGCCCAGGCATGGAGTGGGAGGTTCATGCAATCCACTCATGGAGAGCAAGCACATGATGCTGGGCATTGTACTGGGCATGATCATGAGCATGGACACAAGTGTGGTAATGGGTGGTGTCTAATATTTTTTGAGGCTTGGTGTTCCTTGGAGAAATTTTAACTCTCTAACCATCCTTCTCATTGTGCATTGTGCATGAGGTAAAGGCCTGTTCACTACAGCTCTGGTTGTTTTAAACTTTAACAATTGTTCTTTTAAACAATTATTGCCTTGGATATGGGCATTTTCCTGCATGCAGCTATTTTTTATAGCCATTGCCTGATTTATGAGTGTCAACATACTTTTGTCTCAATTCATTTGTATATAGAGGAGAATTTGGCCTATGTCACCTCATATTTAAACCACACAAAACAGTCACAGATGACTGCTGAGTTCCTCAACACTAAGGTGGAATTAAAAATGTATAATGACAACATTCTTCAGTTACATTTTGTTTAGAAGACTTTGGAGTGGTGACAGTAATTGTGACACATTTTTTGATTAAGGTTTTTGTTATCTTAGATTAAATAAATCAATGTTTTTTCTCTTTTTTCTTTTTCCGTTTGAGGTTGAGCTAATTAACCACAGAAACTTTTTTTCCATGACCTCTTTACCTATTTTTACCAACAGTGCCTTGACGTAATGATTATGGGGCTGATTGTAAAATCTTATCTTGCAGTTAAATGCTTTGGTGTGTCTGGTTAAACTGTAACTTGGGTTACGCCCATATACAGTGCTCCAATTTGTAAGAATACAGAATGTATTTAAAGCGTCACCCATAACTAAAACATTGGACACAGTCTGCAGGGACTGCCTGATACTGGACCCTCTTTCTTTACACATTTCGACTGCAGTAAGTGAGTATATTGTCTATTGAGCTTTCAATGAAGTTACATCTGAACTGGCAATACATTCACTGATAGTAATACAGAGACTGCGTTTGACTCTGATGATGATGTTAGAGGTGCATGCTAGTGATGTCTAGTGACCATGTATACAAGTAGTGCAATTTGAACTGTAAAGTTTGTTAGTCGTATTTTTGTACTTCCTCTGTAACTTTCTTTATATGCTTAACTAGATTATCCCAATCAGTCACAGCAGCACTTTAAAGAAGCTGGCTGTGCACACCACCATTGGCACAACTCAATTATAACAAATACTCCTTCTTATTTGTAGTCAGTGTTGTTTTATGCAGGTGTCCCTTCAGAATAATGAATGGTGTATTTGTTGTACTTATGGGATTTCTAATCTTAGGTAACCAGTTTAAAACCCTTAGTTTCTGCTAAGCAATAATTATGCAATAGTTATAGAATATGCAACTAAAAGAATCAAATCTGTGCACAGTCCTCAAAATCCTAGCACTTGTCTGACTTGTCTAAAACACTACTGATATCTGCAAGGTGATTAGATTAATGATAAATTCAAGTTTGTCATGAGAAATCAAATGAAAAGATGACGATTTATGTATATGTAAATATATTAGTATTTTCTAATATGTACTACAAAATATAATGTATGTCTTTGATATAATTACTACAAAAATAAATAATATACAAAAAATATGACTTGGGTATCTTATGTGTTTGTTGCAGGGCCTCCCATAGGCACAGTATGAACCCCAACCGTCCAAAGCAACCAGGACCGGGTGGGCCGCCTGGCAGCACACCCCCACCACCAGGCAAGCCAGGGCATGGAGGAGGAGGTCCGTGCAATCCACCTGGGCCCCATGGAGGGCCTGGGCATGGGCCTGGGCCTGGGCATGGGCCTGGGCATGGGCCTGGTCAAGGTCATGGGCCTGGTCATGGGCCTGGTCATGGGCCTGGGCACGGTCATGGGCCTGGGCATTGTCACTGACATGGCAGACATGGGAAAAAGCATGTAAAAGGTGAGAACATGCTGCCTGACTCAGTTCTTATCTGGTATCTTTGTTAGTACTGTGACAGATTATGATTTAGATATGTTTCTGAGACTTACTGCTTCAGTAGTCAGACTGTAGCCTACCAGCCATTTTAATGGAGAATTACAATGCATTGAAATGGTTCATTACTGTCAGCAGAAACCATGATCACTGGCAAAAGCGGTTAAACACATGTTTAAAATGAAGACATGAGAAATTATCAAAATGCACCAAATGCATATATATATATATATATATATATATATATATATATATACATATATATATATATATATATATATATATATATATACTTAAACATACATAGGTTAAGATATATCCAGGCAAAACAGCTTTGTTAGTTATGTGTAGTAGTCAGCTAACTCCAAGCAATTGCTGCTCCCTTTCCCACTGTCTTCCTCACTCTCCCTCCACCCTGAGCTGCATTCATGTAGCGGTCAAGTTCAAAGGTGAATACAGAACAGGTGCATTTACACACAACACAAAAATGTGCAATTACAACTAATCACTTACATACATATTTGTAACTGTGATGGTTTTTGTATCTTATAACATTGTTTTATAAGTGTTATTCTTCCCACAGCATTCTGGAAGCAGCTCTGGCAGTGACTCTGATTAGAGAGAGCATGAAGAAACTCCACACACATGGAAGCTGCACCCTGATATGTGGTCCACACTGTACAGCGATAATTTCTCCATTTCAGTGTATCAAAATTCACCAAATAAATAATCTATGACTTCAGCATAGCATCAAACCTGGTATTAAGGCACATGATCTACTAACTATGCAACTTTGAATCTAGCCTTTTTAAATGTTATGATAAATGTTATTGTTTTCAGGTGCAGGAGATAACTGACTAATACTCTGTCCAGTTTGTTTACATGTCATTGCTGTCCAAAAAAGGTAAATTTACAGGATAATATAAGAAAAAAAATCTTAACTTTTAATTTAAGTTAATGTAAAGAGATTTTATTTTTATTCCAAGCTATTTTGGAGCATTTCTATTGGTTTATTCATCAATCATTTTTCCCACAATATAAAGCACACCTGCTGTGCTCAAATGAAAATGAAATCTGAAAAAAAAGTTTTTTGGGCAGCAGCGATATGTTCCTTGCATTATACACCACACAATGTAGATTGAACCAGATAAAATCTGTACGTATTGGGATTATCATGAACTGTCTCACTTAGCTATATCAGTAAGACATTATTTCGAGGAGTAAAAGGGTTTCTTCATTCATGTCTGTTTTTCATTTTTTTTACTTAAACTTTGGTGAATATAAAGAGAGAAAACAGAAGAAATGACTGATAAATTAAAGACAGTAATATTTCACTGGAAACAAAATGATAATAATTTAGTTCCAAGAAGGCACACAGCAAAATTTACAGTGCTAAAAAGTGTTTTTAGTATTTAAATTTAGTATTGATGGTCATCCTGAAGTTGTTTTTACACCCAGCGAGTTGATAAAACTCAGAGTCTGGAGTTATAGGATAGTAAGCACCAGCGCTCTTGCAAGGAGTTGTTTTAACTTCCAGTCATTTTTGGCAGTCCAGGCAGGTGATGAGTAAGGTAATTAGATGTCTGTATATTTTGTATATGATTTGTAATGTGCAATTCAAAACTATTCTTTTTAACCTGCTTACTACTAACATTAACTAATCACTATTAACTTAGGCTGAATCAAAAATGCCTCCCTACTGCCTGTATAGTGCACCACAAAAATAATGAAATTCTGGGGTTTGCACCCAAATAGTGCACTTTTTGTCCAATATAGAATTGTGCACATATGCCTGAACCCCAAAAGACTTGTTGTTAGGCATATTATTTTAATTCTTTACTTAGTGCAACACACAGGGAGGAGGGAGTCATTTGAGATTCAGCCTTGTTTAGCCAATGCAGACTCTACAACAGCCATTTATTTTAGGAGTTCTCCCTGCATTTTTAATGCTAACATTTTCATGTGAGGTAGTCATTTTAATTTTACTCAGCTTGTGCTTAATTATTTTTTAGTATTACATTACTGAAGTGTTCATTTTGAAATTAGAGACTTGTATTCTAGGCGACGTTATTAGGCTAACATTTTTGGTGCCTTTTAGGTCGACAACTAACTCCAGTGCAGTGATAAATTAACAGCTGTGTTCTGAACAGTATACTCTTTCTGGTGTACCATGCAACACGAGTGGTGTAACAACACCTTAATGCTAGAATTGTAACGCTGACAGTGGTAGAATTTTAATGCTTAAAGTGGTATAAAATAGCAACACCTCAAAAAGTGTATTTTAAACATAAATTGGTATGAACCTATATACACACTGAAAAAGTGTTACATCTAACACTCACAGTATAAATTTAACACTGGCAAATTAGCTGTGTACTGATTCTATTTAAATGCAACATTAAATAAGTGAGTTTAAAGGTACTTTTTAAGAGTGTTGATGGCTCTCAGGTTTTTCTGTACAGAATTTCAGAGCTTGGGCCTATAATAAATGAAAGCTGACTCATGTCATGGCAGTGCTCCTCAGATTGTAATATATTTCATGCACACCTGATCCAACGTTGTTTGTTGGAGCAGGGAAAACCTAAAATGTGTGTGGCACTGGTTTCCTGACATGTGCAGCATGTAAATCATTACATTAAAAAAATGAATGATACTGATGTACTAGGCCTTTTGTACCAGTTTCGGGTGCAAATCAGACATATTCTGTCCATGTATTATGTAGAAAATGTGCTTCTGTTCCTTGTGCACATTCATCCAAGAGAGGATCATGAAAAACATAGAAAAACATGCAAAAACCAGGCATACATTTGTGTTTGGTTCCAAAAAGACTGTTTTGTGGAGAGTCTTCCGTTCACAAAGGCAACAGATACAGAAGCTGAAAGAATGTTTACGTCAGAATAGCACTGCATAAACGTTCAGGGTCAGGTGTACACAGGAAGAAAATGTGGCACAAAATATGCCATGACATAGCCTATTTTCATAGCCAGAGTCAGTTAACTGTTCCATGATCTCACCAGTAGGGGTGAGCAGGGCACAAACTAACATGAGGTAAAATGTAGCACAGAGACAGATTATGTAGTTAAACAGGTTTCAGTAGAACATACGTTCAGTCATGTTTCTGTGTTCATGTAACGTCATCTGCCATTTTTTTTTATAATCTGCAAAGTTTTTGTGCCACAAATGTAACTTTCATTAACTGGTTACTGAGTTGTGTGTACCTTCACATAAGTCACACTTACAGCTGTATGCACCTCTGGTTAAATGATATGTTTTCATGATTTTCTTAGTGAAAATAAGTTATCTCCTACAGAGAGCACCCTTAAATATTTGAGTTTTTCGATTAAATTAAAAATGTTGTGCACCATTTTTATTGATTTGCTAAGTTTAACAAATTAAAAAAAAAAAAATAAAACATAAACTATAAAATGTGCCAAAACATTTTATGTTTTATTTTTTATTTCCCAATATGTTAGACCATAGCCGTGTATTCAAATGTGCAGAAGCATGTTCTCTGTAGAGGATTTTATTATCTTATTTTCACTTAAAACATCAACAAAACATAATTTGACTAGGGGTGCCCAGATTGCCCTGTATTTCACTTTAATCCCTCTCTTGGTGGCTGTAAATTGATGCAAACAACTCTCATACAAACAACTCTCAGTGAGAGTATGCCAGGCTAAAGTACAGCCTTCACACAGTGGGGTTCATTTTAATGGTAACATTTTACTGTAAATGTTGACTAACATTAAGTCATGCACTTGTTAACCTGAACAACACATGAAGTGCTACATTAATAATAATTAGATAATATTAAGTAAATAAGTAAGAATTGCATTAGTTAATGTTGTTTTCATATTAAATGTTGAATAACATCAGCTAATGTATGTGCTAACAATAAAAACACATGACACAACATTAATAATGATTAGCTAACATTAAGTAAACAAACAGTTATTGCATTAATTCATATATTTTCACTTATTTGGTCAGATACTGCATTGATAAACTAAGATTTAATAAGGAATGTTAAATAATAACTTAATGTAAAAACACTTAAGCACTTCAGCAGCAGGTAGAAGTGACATTTAGTCAGTTACATTTATTCAAGTAATTTGTACATTTATAAGTGATAGTGATAATACTTTAACTTCTACTTATCTGTTTACACAGTTCATTTTTTGTCATTAGTATTTAGTTCCTTATTCCTTTTTTTTGTCTCATTGTGTTGTGCTGGTTCACTTCTGCATTGCTTTATTGTTGATCACTTGTCTCACTTCAGAGCTTTAATGTTCACTTCATCTTGCTAAGTTTGTTACATAAGAAGACAAAGAATTTGTCTTGGTAACTGCACGCATGTATGACTTGTAACATACTGAACAGACAAGACAAGCACAGACACTATTAACTGGCATTTAACTAAGGGACAAATAAAAGAGAAATACAGTAAATAGAAGCCAATGTGAAATGTGCTAAAGAGATGTGTTAATATCTGTATATATAGAGAGAAGAATATCTATACATATGCATGTCTGAGTAGACATATAATAACTATTATATACAGACTATTACAGAGTGAAATGAACATTTGTACAGCTGTGAAGAAGGTACAGTAAAGAAGGTTTGTTAGGTTTAGATGAAGTTTAGAGTGCAAGGTGTTCACTGTGATAATGAGCGCTACAGCTCTGTGGAAGAGCTGTTAGCATGTCTGGTTGTGCCGGCTTTGATGACCTTCTGCCAGAGGGGGAGGGTCTGGAAGAGGTGATGTCCAGAATGAGAGGGGTCAAATGTAATTTCGCTGACGTCCTGAAGCATTGTCAGACTACGTTCAATGGTCCTCTCCGCTGTCCTGATTATGTGCGTTCAGCAGCAGGTGGGAACTGCTGCATCATTGACTTCCTTTCTGTAGGTAGACTCATCCCTGTAGAGACCCAGTCATTAGTGTAGAGACTGAAGAGAAGGTGAGAACACACAACCTTGGTATTCCAGTACTGAGGGTCTGGGGATCTGATGTGTGCTTTTCTAGCCACACCTGCAGTTTCCTGTTTGTCAGGAGAACCAGATGGGACAATTTGACCTGCAGCAGCTCTGGAACTATGGTTTTAAATGCTGAGCTGTCCACACACATATCTCTAACAAAGAATCCAGGACTGTCAAGATGCTGTAGCAGCAGTGGCATAACTGGAGGGAGGGAAAAAGGGGGCAGTTGCACTTGTGTCCAAGCCAGTAGCGCAAAAGGTGAACTAAACTAGAGCACTGCACAGCCAGATCCATTTGTGTTCACAGCTTCGCAAAATGGACAAAAAAGGGGAAGAAGGTGGAGCTGGGAGGAAAAGAGAGAGTGTGTTCACAATAGCTAATTTAGCAACAGAACAACAAGTCAGTCTTTAGCCTTCTCGACTCAGCTGATCACTTAGCTACTGCTGTAGGCTGATTCCCTCTAACAAGAAATATCGAACTAATCCACCACCAACCGAAATAACTGATTTTCAGACTCTAGCCCATTTGTAGTTTCTGTTCAGGCTGATTAAAGTTTTTTATTTTTAAATGAACATTTTTAGAGAGATTAAAGATTACATAGCGAACACAGACATTGCACCATACATACAAAAATACTGTCACGTTTAAAGACTTAAAGGTATCTCTGAGCTTTAACTTCATTTGTCCATGTATTCACATTATAGTGTGAAATGGAACATTATTTACACTGGAACGTTTAAGTGATTGAGCTGATCATGGTGCTGTCATACTTCATGGATGGGTATCATACTAAATAATTTCACATAATTTACATTCAAAGTCAGGAATCTCTTCTTATTTTAAACACACAGTAACAGGCATCTTAGAAAATGTTATTTGAAGTTATTTATCTAGGTGGTAAGTGTTTAATGTTCCAGAAACACTTACTTTGGAATAAATACAAATAAATGAAATATCCATTCTGATGGTGGTGGGGCATTAGTAGTTTTTGCACTGTGGCCCATAAGATCATAGCTACACCACTACTGTAGCCTGAAGAATAGAGCCTTACAAACTATCCTGAAAGATGCTGGATGAAGTAAGATGTTCCACTGCAGTTCTATGAGCTACTCAGAACTTTAGTTTTTGATCTGTAGAACTACAAACATACCAATTTCTAAAACTAAAGTAAATCTTAGTCCATGCAGCATCTATCAGGATGGGAACTGATGTTTATAGAGCTCTCTTCTTCTCTTTTTTGGATCCTTTTGATCTAAAATGAAAT